GACGAGAGTCCTAACCACTGTGCCACCGACGCACTTGCATCCACAAGCAAGCTTGGCAACACAATAAAGGCTGGCCAGAACCCGATGAAGCCTAAAGTTGCTGATGCTGCAAAGGAATACGAGAAGCCAAGGGCCAAACCTAAGTCTGAGGTTAATCGGTCTAATTCTCTCATCCTCTTTAACGTACCTGTGAGCAAGGACAGCTTGCTTGAACAGCGGGCCCTGTTTGATCAAGAACAGTGGTCCAACCTGTGCAATAAACTAGGTCTGAATATTATTTCAGTGAAATTGTGCAGGCTGTACAGAGGTGTCCACACACCTCAAGGTAAGCCACCCCCATTACGGGTTACACTGGACTCTGCCGAAGAGGCCAAAAAGGTACTATTGATGGCTCAGGTACTAGCCATCGACAGAAGCTCGAACATAAGGGTGAGACAAGACAGACCATGGGCTGTCAGACAGATGGCGAGGGAGTCACCGGAACTTTTGCCTTCTACCTCTATGGTGGTACACGGTGTTCCGGAGCTGGAAACGAGCACTGTCTGTGAAAAACACATGCATGACGTACAGCAGTGGAGATGGCCGTCGTCTCAGATGGCCCTTGGCGCTTCTGGAGCCATCTCCGTTTACCGACTACCTCGGACCGCTCATCTCACACTGATTAGCTCCTCAAAGCTGCTAAGTGTCACATTCAACTCCCCAGAGCAGTTGGCCATAGCACTTCAACGGTGGTATGAGATCAAGGGGAAATTGGGAGGACACATCCGATGCTGCGAAAGCAGACCTCGAACCATAAGGAGGCAGCAAACTGAGGCTTCAATACGTCCCCAAGCTTCAGTGACACTAGAGCGATGCAGTTCTGAGAATAACAGTCTGTGTCACCCAAGTGTCCTGCCTAAATCCATGGAAAAAACCAAAACAGGCAGGTTCCATCGGAATCGGCCAACTAGTTCCAACATTAAGTCATCTACCAGCAGACAGCCTCACGTCAACTACCCCACAACACGCTGAGGTTGTAAGATTCACTGTCAGCTGCCTATATAGCAATGTGAGGGGGCTGGGAGAAAAATTAGGTGAACTCCGAAATCTCCAAGCACACGTACAACTGAAAATGATCATCCTCACCGAAACGTGGCTAACCCCCACTATCGCCGATAATGAAAACAGTATAGGTGATATGGTTCTGGTTAGGAGGGACTATAATAATAAGGAAGGAGTGGGATTTGCTATATACTTTGATAGGCAACTTAAATGTGTGCGCGCAACGGACCCACCACTTATTGAACTCCCAGACTCCATATGGTGTCGTTTCACCGTAGGCCACACCAAGCATTTACTAGGTGGCATCTACCGATCTCCCACCTGTGGGGCAGAGCACAATCAGCTACTGCTCAACACTATCACAGGGATACGAGACTTGGGCTATGACCAAATCACCATTGCTGGAGATTTCAATGCCCCATCACTGAACCTTGGCTCGGGGTATGCTAAGGGAAAATTCGGCCGAAATCTACTGCAAGCTGTTCGGAACACGGGACTGACTGAGAACGTTGGAGACGACACTAGGTGGGGTCCTAGTGGAAAGTCATCAATACTAGACTACATTCTAACTAGTGACCAACTACTTGTCGAAATGGTCCAGATCATGACTCCTCTAGGAAGTAGTGACCATGCAGTCATAGGTTTCAACCTCGTTCTCCGTGAGCATTTGTAGTGGGACGTTACGCGACCATGTCTGTGTTACAGCAAGGCTGACTATGCTGAAATGCGGAGGCTCTTGTCCGATGCAGACTGGCCCTTAGCATGGGATAAGCTGTCTGTGGATGAACACTGGGGAGCGGTAAAAAAGATTATTCATACAGTAACCTCGGATACCGTCACTTTAGTCACAACACGGCCCAAAAGAAAGTCATCATGGTTAAAGAGAGGCACGCAGCGTATTCTGCAAGCAAAGAGGAAGGCTTGGTTTACGTGGCGCGTATCTAAAAGCCAGATCGACCGCGATGCATACCTGGAACTCAGGAACCGGTGCAATGCAAGAGTCAGGAGGGACAGGAGGTCATTCCAGGATAACCTTGCTAAAAAACTCCTGGCAAACCCGAAGAATTTGTACCGTTTCATGTCGGAAAGAAAACCAACCAACCAGGGGGCATGTGCCTTAGTAGGCCAAAACGGTCAATATCTCACTAGTCTGGAGATGGCTGAAACATTTAGTTTAGCCTTCGCCAAACAGTAATGTGGGTATTACCGTTACGGACCAAAATGGTGGCATCACTATTTCACAGGAGGAAGACCAAATAGCCGCCCCCCAAATAAACCCTGCAATAGTACTGAGAAAGCTGCAGCGACTCATACCTGGGAAGTCCCCAGGTTGTGATAACATCAGGCCATCTGCTCTGAAACAGTGCGCCGAAGCTCTCTGTAGGCCTTTATGCGACTTGTTCTAACACTCCATGGAATCGGGGAAAGTGCCAAAGGAATGGAAAAGAAGCATCCTTCCTCTGATCTTCAAGGGTGGTGATAGGCAAAATCCCACCAGCTATAGACCAGTAGCTCTACTCCCATTGGTATCAAAAGTACTGGAAAGTATTATTGATGGTCACATCAGGGAATATCTGGATAGGTCTAAAATACTCCATGAAGCCCAACACGGTTTCAGGAAAGGGTGATCCTGCGTCACTAACTTATTATCAGCTTGGGACGACTGGACATCATGCTGGGATATGAGTGTTCCAGTCCATGCGATGTTTCTAGACTTTGAGAAGGCATTTGACACTGTTCACCATGACCTTCTCCTACACAAAACAAGCCAGGTAGGTTTAGGTAAGCCAATTCTGTCATGGTTGAAGGACTACCTAACTGAAAGGCGATTTTGCACCAAGGTCAATCGAGTCCAATCATCTTGGCACAGCTCGTTATCAGGAGTGTCGCAGGGTTCTATCCTGGGACCACTGATGTTCTTGATTTTTATCAATAATCTACCATACTGTCTAAGCTGCACGACTTCTATGCGCTGATGACGTGAAGATATGGAGGGCGACAAAGTAATTAGAGGACTCAGATAGACTGCAGACAGATCTAAGGCTTCTGAAAGACTGGGCGGTGGCCAGTGGCATGACTTTCAACTTGAAAATGTGCAAAGTAGTGAAGTTACGCACCTGTAGACTGCAGAATGCAAGTCACGCCCTGTGCAATGAAAGCTTGTCCTGCTCAACGTCGGAACGTGACTTAGGTCTAGTTCTAACGGAGAAAATGGACACAAGCGTAAATTACACGGGGGATGTAGAGAGGGCATATACGGTCATACACTTTACACATAGACAATTAGGTGCACTCACTCCTGAGCTCTTTCTAAGGGGGTATAAAACATACATCAGACCGCACCTTGAAGTGCATAATATCATTGCACCCCTACTGCTTAGAAGAGACGCCAACCTCTTGGAAAGAGTCCAACGACGGGCAACAAAAGGAGTGGTTGGTCTCCGAAACAAACCATATGATGAAAGGCTGAAGAAATTAGGCCTATTCACACTTAGTTACCGTCGTCTTAGGGGGGATTTAATTACTGCCTACAAAATAACAAATGATCAGAATCACCCAAACAAAGGTGTTCTGCCATTGAGTAGGTATAGGCTCCCTCGTGGAAATCCTAGAAGGATAGCTCATCAGAGGGCAAGGACCCGGGTGCGCTCCCACTTCTTTTCCCTGCGGGTTTGCCGTCCCTGGAATTCCTTACCGGCAGATGTAGCTATGGCACCATCTGTGGACGCCTTTAAGCGAAGGCTGGACAACCATGCAGCGACACAAGGACTTCATCCAAATGGCCTATCCCCTTAAAATCGCATACACCATTCAAAGGTAGACAATTAAACTGGTCGTTTTACTTCTTTACATTCTCTTCCGTCTTACTCTCCTGACAGCTTTAACTACACCTATTATTATTATCATTATTACTGGTATATATATATACCGGTTGACTGACTGTTGTTACGTTTTCTTATTCTTTTTCTGTCTGTTAGTCTGAATACCTTCACTAATTATATCTATTATTATTATCTCTTTTCTATTGATGACGATACCGAAGGACCAACTGGTGAAAGGATCAACTCCATTCACAGTAGTAACAGTCTTAACACACCTCATACTACAAACCACATATAATTAATCCCTGCACTACTCCTTTTGGAGTCAACCAAAGCTACGACAGTCGAGTGGCGGGACGAGCTACGCAGACGTTTACCGAAGATCAGGAACCTCTACCTCACAATCAAGAGGCGAGCACAAAGAAATCAAATTGGTTTATACTAGCTCGTAAAAACGATATTGGATATTGGAAGTTGAGTTGAGTACTACAGGGGCTGGACTTATCCGGCATGTTGGTTGAAATTTCGCTAGGCAAATTTTTTTTGTCAATAATTTTTAATAAAATTTTGTTATATGTTTTCTGGATTGATAGGAATTCTCATTTCCTGGCTAGTTATGTTGGTGTCCGCGTCATTTAATCTGACTGCGACACACTTAGCATATTGGTTGTAATGATTAGTGTTTCATGCTGAATGCGTCAAAACATCTCTACAATGAAGAAGATGGGGTAATTGGGGGGTAATGTCATCTACACAAATAGTTTATTTCTTGTAGAAGCTGCAGCTTTCGACATAGTGTCATTCAATGAAGACTACGTCAAAATGTGGCTATTTTCGTGTGAAGAACAGTACTATTGTACAAAAGAATGCTATCACTACATGGGAATCACCTACAAATGCCAACAGAACGTAAAACCAATGTGTAAACGAACGGCTACGGAACTGCAATCCAACATAACCGACTAACATGGACGAAAATGAACTTTGAGCGTCTCACTCCATCAATGACCTTGAGCATGCGGGATAATTTCAGCCAATCAAGAGGCGAGCACAAAGAAATCAAATTGGTTTATACTAGCTCGTAAAAACGATATTGGATATTGGAAGTTGAGTTGAGTACTACAGGTCATTAGGACAGAAAAAGGCGGTCTTTACAGTTTCCCCCGTTGACCTTGACTCTGTCAGCATGATTAGATAATGACATTTTACTTCATGCACATTTTGTAAACCTGCTCAAAGAGCCCACGAAGTCATTTCCTTGAAACTCCATGCTCTGTATCAGATGACCAAGTCGAGCGTATTTTCCCAAATACTGGGCACAGACGAATTTATAGTGTCTAAACATCTTTTCTCACGAAAATGTTTGAAGTCGGTATTGCTATCTGCTGCTGTCGGTGGTGCAGTAATTGGCATTGTTTACTGGTGGTTTAAATCAAGGCGTTCGGCAGATCGTGTTGTTATAAAGTCAGAGACCACAGATATAGATGACCCTACAATTCTTGCAATGCATTCCATGGATTTTTATTCTCAAGCCAAACTTTCTAGCAACCGAAGTGTGGGGTCTGTCTTTTCAAGAACTTCAACTGTCAGTGAAAAACCCACATTTACTTCAAGTGCAAGAAAACTTTCCCAGCCTTCAATAGCAAATGACTCAGATATTGACGATAGCTCCTCTTTGGCATTGGATTACAGAAGACTTGGTCTACGCGCATTAGCTGGTGTCGTTGAACATCTCGAATCTCTTATGTGCAAGGTTAGAGTTCTTGAAGATAAGGGTTTGTCTCGTTCTTCGGATTCTGATCAGTTAATTAATGACCTACGTGTTCTTTTGGAACATGCTTATCGTTTGCGTGAACAATATAAACAGCAGCTAGTGCTTCATGATGGCAGTTATCGACAGGGATCATTGGAATCTTTAGTGACTTCACAGGAGGATACATCTTCTTACTACTCTGCATCTGAACACTTAGATTTGACTGAGTTAGAATTACTAATGCAGTTTAATGTGAGGAGACCTCTTTATTACAGCGCTTTAAAATTGCTGAATGAAAGTGATATTCCTTACCGGTAAGACTACACTTTATACTTTATGTTTTGCATAGATCATATGCTGATTGGTTTTTACAACTTCGAGTAGAATCTTGTGTGAATTTGTGCTTAAGTAGTTTTTATGTCTCCTCGTGTATTAGAGCTGTGCATTCTTTCCAAATGTGGAGTTTGTTAAACTATAGTTTTTGATACCTTAACAAATTTCTACAGCTTGACTACCAATCAAGTTTGGATTCTATTGGTTTTCTTGGCACTGCTAAAAGTTTGTTTTTTCTCTGTAGATTTGTTTCATAATTGGTTGCTTTTTATCTTACCATTGAAGTCTTCACATTCCTGGGTTACTGACCGGCGATACGTGAGGCGCGTCTCAGTTATTGTAAAACCTTCGGATTGTAAAATATCTCCACAGAACTTCAATTTAATTGCAATTGTTATATATCTTGACAAATTGTATGGTATTTAAGAGTAATAACAGTTATGGTTTCTGCTCATCTAGTGAACTTTATTGCTTCACTTTCTCTCTATGAGTACGAATAAATCAACACATCGAGTTTAGTGCAAACTGTAAGATAAAGTTTTGTTTTTATTTTTGTACGACTGTCAGTCAACATACTATCTTAAGTATTGGTATTTTGCTCAATTATTGCATTTCTAACACGACTACTGTCACATCTTTGTACAGTTGCAGCAAATAGGGTTGTCAACAGATATCTTCGCTAAACACTTATCTCTAACGATAAATTCTCAAATCCATTTTAAAAAATTCTTAGCACTAATTCTAAAGGAAATAGAGTGCTTCCTGTCTTTACATTTAATCTATGGTGACACCAGTGTTAGGTACTAACGAAACCATCATAGGTGTTAAAAAGTTTAGAGGCTGAGGATATTGACGTTCACGGACAGTACGAAGTATGCTAATGCAAGATCTAATACCCACAACTTCTATAGTATTCGTTCCGCGTAGACCAAAGGCAAAGCAAAACACAAGAATTGATCGTCGAAATTACGAGATATATTTCGGGACCAAATCGGAGTGCAAGATGATTGCTTAGCTAGCTAGGGATCGTGCACAAACGAACGAACGTGACAGGACGGAGTACCAAATGGCGTGGATGCTTGACTGAAAGCCTTCAGCTAAACAAGTTGACTTAAACAGTGAGGGTCAGCATCCAATGTTCAGTGATGAATGCTGTGGCCAATACAAAAGTATATTTTTGACCAAGTGCTCATATAAGACTTCAATGACTACGCAAATGCTGTTTTACGCCCATGTGGTTAAGTGGTATCACCAACTCACAGTTCAAAAGTTTGCATGTGGTTGCTGATCTGTATTAAATTCACCCCACTGCATTAGATATCCTAATCCATATCAATTGTTAAGCCTCACATAGATTTCTTGTTTTTCTTCTTCAGAAATAAACAAGTTAGACCATTGTTTGTTCTTCTCCGAGTGTTCATGCTTTAAATTTCATGATGTTTAGACTAGTGATGAGATGTTCTCGATCAGATACCAAAATTTAAAAGACGCCAAGCAATTAGTATTCACATTCTAAGTTACAGGTCTTCGTAACTATTGGCAACCAACTTCTCCACTTATTTCGCCTATCAGTAATAAATAATCATTACCACTAGTATTTACTGTTAATTAAATCTTTTATCTCATGAATAATAACATTATTTTTATGAGTCCATAGTGCATTTCTATTTCTGATGCTTGAGGAACTTTAACTTTTCTTTTCTTTTTCTAGTGCTCTCAGAACACAATTTGTTGGTTGTGAACTTGATATTGAATATCTCGGTAAAGTTCATTGTCTTCGTCAAGCATTTGACTATATTTTTGATCGTCCTGAATCTACTGAATGGATGATTAAAGTTGGAAAACTTAATGTATGTCGTTTGTTACATTGTCTTGGATATCCAAGTACAGATTTTGAAGAAGCCTATGAGTAAGTGTAACATTTTTCAACCACTCAGAGAATAACTTTGATATCGTAGTCATATTTCATTTATTATTGTCTTGATTACAATACTACCCCCCCCCCGACGCGCACGTTACCTTAGTGTTACGTATGCCTAGTCATCGCCTTCCTCGACAATGGGCAATGTTAGCTGATATAGGGTCAGGCTGGAAAAGAGCTAGCGGCAGTCAAACCGAAACATGGTACCAGTCATTGAAATCTACAACAGTTATTCTAGGCCACTTATGAAAGTGTAGACTTCCTGGTCGGGGTCCTCGGGACATTAAAAACCAATGGTTGGAAACAATTGGTGACATGGCTCAAAATCGTTCTCAATGGTGCAGATGCATCCACTCCTTGTAACTTATGATTTCCAATGAAGCTATATCGTTCTTCGTTATTACTATTCCTTTGTTTCACACCTCTGTTTACTGTCTATATTATGCATTTCTTCTACTTTCTTCTCTTGCTTTGTGTACTACATGTGGGGAGTGTGGCGACTTGAACTGCCGCACATATGTGCAAAGTTCTGTGTCGAAGACAGACAGACAGACGTTATCTTAGAGATTGTCTTCATCTTCAGCCTAGCTAGCACTGGTTTACTTTTTTCATGCATATTAAGTTGGGAATTCACTTTTCCCCCGCTGCCCTTTCACTATCGGAGTCACCAACAGTACTCCGTGAATCCAGTAGATGCCACTTTATTTCTTAATAGATTGGAATACACAGAACTGTTAGGGAAGATCTTTAAAAAGTTAAAGATTTTCTAATCCCTCTATTATATTAGTATTCTAGCAATTTGTAACTTTAATAGTATTTTCCTTCCAACTATACAAGGTAGGTAATGTGGAATGTGTAATACTTGCTTCACAATAAAGTGCTATTCATTACCTCAATTTGTGCCACCCGTTATTAGAAGTTGTTTATATGTTACTCAACAACCTATTGCAGTTGCATACAGTTGGAAATAAGCCACACTGATTGTGTGAGGTCTAGTGATGCTACCTGGCTGCCTAAACCTCAACAGGAGTGGAGTTGGAACCAAATGAGCCAAAGCTCCACATATTAGTAGGAGAAGCAAAAGGTGGAATCTACGTAGATAAATCTACACTACCCAATTGTGTTTGAAGGAACTGAAACTCTTTTTTACTACACCTATCAGCGCTTTGGTGTATTTCTAGTGGATAATTAACACCAGTGGGAAATGTTTTTGCTTCTTAAGAAAAAAATCCGGAAGCGTCACACCTCATTGTCTTGATTTAGCCTTATCAATGTTAGATTAATTTATCAAGTATTGGTTTGTAGAGATTTTGTTTGATTGGTTGGAGGATTTCATTATAAGCTGAAATCTGTTAAGAAACCATTGGAAAACCATCATAGAGTACTGGACAGCTGTTTCGTCATAGTTTGAGTTTCTTCGGCTGCATGCACCTTTCAGGGTTGTAACCCGGACATTGCCAAGTGATCGCGGTATGTTGTGAATTGGCAGAAGTTAGAATTCATAGGCCATTGCATCGCATCCCAGTGACTTAATAGTCTACGAGCTCGCCTTGTAACAAGAACGTCCTGGATTTGAACCCATGTAGGTGCGTACTGATGAAGAGTCCCAAAAGACTAAGATGAAACACCTATCCAGTATTCCCTGATGGTTTTCTAATGGTTCTATAACCGATGTCATCAGCTCATGATGAAATCCTCCAACCAATTTTAGATTAGTTTTAACTTATACACCCAATTTCTTGTTTGGTCATTGTTGGAGTACGAGGTGGTGTGTATCATTTTCCGACAAACGACATCCACCTTAAAATATTAAGTTGGCCTGTAATACTAGAAAGCATTCAAATCTGTGGTTCACTAGTTGGTGGTCATTAGAGTAGCGGCAGAAAACATAAGAAAAAGAACTCACTAAAACACAATCACATAATTAATTAATTTTTTAATTTTATTGTAGCTTGACTCCACACCGTATTATTGGTACAAGTATGGAATTTTCAGCATGTGATATCGGTAGCCCAAATTTTGCAGGCCGACCGATTGATAGTGTGCGTCGGCTGGGGACCGAACGCCGGACTATGTCCATAGTCCGCGAGAGTCCTAACCTCTGTACCACCGACGCAGGATAGAGCTACAATTCTAAAAAGTAATATAGAGTTAGGTGAGGGGAGAGGTTGATCACTGAATCTTTGTTCATGGTATCGACACTTAATATGTGCAATAGAAATCACGTAACGCCGATCCCAGTGATGTGAAAAATAGATATTGCTACCCAATATAATCAAAGGATAAGAAATGATAAAACTACATAAACATAGTTTGAAAGTTATGTGAGCACTTTAATATGATTATGGAAGATAAATTTTGCTCAGAACGTCATCAATATTAACAAATAATACGGTATCATTGTCTTCTTTATATCGAATAAATTTATTCTGTGTTAGAATTATACCCTACCTACCACAGTGCCAAAAATTTATTCTTAATATCAATAAAAGTTTATAAGTTGCCTGTGTAATAAAGCCAGATTAGGGGAGAAAAAAAAGTTATGTCATAATTTTATTTTGTACTATTCAAATAATTATGCGCATTACTAACTAACATGTTTAGTTGGAAATTTTCCACATCACTCATTGTGGTGTTATGTAAGCACCAGACAACCGTTCTACTCGTTTCCATTTAGGCTTGTTAGTACTGCAATGTACCAAGGAAGTTTACTTTTCAATTTTTTTAATTTTTTATTATTAAAACACAAATTTATTGCAGTATGGACACCAAGAAATGTGCTACACAAAATCTCATAGTTTCTGTGGGGGCACAGATGCTACACTGACTCCCGAACTAAAGCAAGTCTGATCCACAAAGCAGTGGACCAGCGTCAGGAGCTACATTCTCATGGTTTCCGGTAACCAAAACAGCTTCATACGCCATTCGGATTCTAGAGTCCATGTAAACAGTAGGTTTAAAATCAAGGTTTACCAGCCCCTCAGTGTGTAGGTAAACCTGTATGTCTACCAGCTTGGTTTTAAGCACCAGGCGTTCGCATTTGTTCTCTCACTTTTTTGAGGAACATTGACTTAGCGTGAAGGCAATGAGTGAACAGGACTTACTTGGTGGAGACTATAAACGCGTGACTATACATAAAAGCATTTCTCGAGGAATAATGAAGTCTAACTATTCTTGGCCGTACCAGGTCGTTTATGGAGGCATTTTTTAAGAATTTGATCGGTTTCTAATCATCAGGTAATATATAGTTAGTTATACCAGGATAATATGAGCTCATCTTTTATTATTTCAAGGATTCTTCTTAACTGGTTACAACTTTTCCATGGTCACAAGGAGTAATTGGTAGGAAGTAAAAGTAACATTAGTCCGGAATGATTTAACTAATTAAGAGTTACGAACACTGACTATTTATAGAATAATTAGACAATTAGGCTTGGAAACAAAAAACAGAGTTGCGTATATATATGTGTGTGTATAGAAACAAGGTTTAGCTAGGAAGAGCATAACAAAAAAGTAGATTACGTAACACTGGTCATATTGTAGACAACCTGAAGTCGTTCAAAATAATCAACAAGCAAAAGAAACCTAGCTTGCTACGCTTTGCTGAAGCAATTGCTATCAAACAACTTAAACCAAATCTATGTACGCAGAAAGAGACAGTGGTGAATCTCGCACTGCCCTGGTGATAACAAAATATACAACTTTTATGAGTCACCCTTTTTCTTGTTTAGAAAACTCTACTCTCTCATCTAAACATGACTCACCCTACCTTGTTCTTTTCGCTCCCTTTTTTCTATTGGCTATTAGATAAAACATTTTCTTTAGTTACGTAATCTACTTTTTTGCTTTGCTCTTTCTAGTTAAACCTTGTTTCTATACACACACATATATACACAACTCTGTTTTTGTTTCCAAGCCTAATTGTCTAATTATTCTATAAATAGTCAGTATTCGTGGCTCTTAATTTGTTAAATCATTCTGGCTGCTAGCCAAAGTTGGTAGACAGTAATTGACGTCAATGTTTATGTCCCTAATATTGGTGGTAAGAAAATGAGAACAAAGGCTTTGCGTAGGCGGGTGCAGTTAGCATATGGATGATCTGACACAGCCACAAAGAGATGCAAGGTTAACTTTCTGTGAGAAACAACCAATCAAAAGACTGTATTTTCTACTAACAATAATCTACAAATAATGTACATTAAAATCTATAAATATGTATTGATTTTCCTTAATAACAAACGATCTGTTGCCTGGCCCTTGTCTTCTGTTGTTACAATGTTACTTTTACTTCCTACCAATTACTCCTTGTGATCGTGGAAAAGTTGTAACCAGTTGAGAAGAATCCTCGAAATAATAAAAGATGAGCTCATATTATCCTGGTACAATTGTTGTTCTTGCTCTGTTCAAGTTTATTAATGGGAAAAATTGCATGAATTTTTTTAATATATAGTTAATCAGACGGTGAAATAATTAGTAGGCATAGAATAAATTCAAATTGATGAATGTAAAACTGTAGTTTTATATACAGTAACACCGGTTCTGTGTTTTCCCTATCTAATTTGCAGTAAGTACATACTTTCGACAGTTTCATTCTAAGGTAGAGTAGGTAATATATATATATATATATATATATATATATATATCGGGGGAACTTTCGTCACAAACCGACAAGAACCAGAGAACCAGCAATAACCGAGAAACACTATGCTTCTGTTTCTTCTTTTTCCGGAACTCAGAAGAAGTATGCAAGCACAATTGTCTCGGGAATTAAACCTATCTGTAATAGTCAGGTCATTCAGCCACCATGTCAGACTGCAACGACGCATGCTATCCACCTGCTGTTAGTTTAGGTAATAACACAACCATCACCCAAGGAGATTAACTGTCCTAACCTCGAATTGGTAAACCTTGTGATCATGGCATCTCGTTAGAACTTAATGATTACATAGAAAATCGAAACAAGTGATTCAGCGAAGAGACTCTTTTCAACGAATTTATCATCAAGCTGTACAATCGTATATATATATATGGTTTTTAAGAAGTTATATCCGGTGAGGGGATTGAATCATAGGTGTGAATGCATAAAATAATAATAATAGTATGAAATGCAATCGGCGTCGGTGGTATAGCAGTTAGGACGCTCGCCGACCATGCACATGGTCCGGGGTTCGACCCCTGGCCGATGCACTCCCTTACCTCGCTAAGCCAGAAATAACGCTGGTGAAGAGGAAAGGTTGGGCATGAGGCTAGCAACCCCATCCTGTAAAATAAACACTGCTACAGAAACTTCAAGCCAACTAGCTTGAAGCCCTATGTTCCACTGGGGAACGTGAAGGACAAAAAAATGAAATGCAATTAAAACTGAAATCTTTGTGATTATAATCGTAGTTAAATGTCAAGTGGCAAAACAATTAATGTCATATGTAGAATAATTCATAGGATGGATAGAACTTGAAAAAGGTGTGCAATTATAAGATCAGTAGACAAATCGAATAAAATAAAAACGTTACGTAATTTTGTGTGAAATTTGATAATATAGAATTTAACGTTCTTAAAAGAATTGATTTAGAATGACAAGTGGAACAAGTGAAATAATACCGGGGACAGTTCAAAATGAGAATAGTAATAGTAACAATTGACGTAATAAACGAAGTGAATACAAATTATTATTATTATTGTTCCCTTGGGTTCCTAGTGGAACATAGGGCTTCAACTGCACGTCTCCACTTGCTTCTGTCTTCTGCTGTACTTTTCACTTGCGTCCATGTTATTCCATACTGTTTCATCTCCTCCTCACACGATCTCCTCCATGTCACCCTTGGACGTCCCACTCGCCGCTTCCCTTTCGGGTTCCACTCGAGGGCTTGACGCGCGATGTCACTCAACGGCCTCCTCAGCGAGTGTCCAATCCATCTCCACTTCCTCCTGCATATTTGTTGGGCGATTGGTTCCTGTTTCGTTTGTTCCCATAGCTTCTTGTTTGTGATTCTTTCTGGCCATCTAATCTTCAGTATGGAGCGAAGACAGTTGTTGATAAAGGTCTGCAACCTGTTGAAAATATTCTTGGTGACTCGCCAAGTTTCTGATCCGTAAAGCAAAATTGACTTCACGTTTGTATTGAAAATCCGTATTTTGTTGTTGATGGTGAGTGACGAAGATTTCCAGATTGGTTTCAGGTTGATGAATGTGTTTCTCGCCTTCCCGATTCTCGATTTGACATCCTCGTCCGTTCCTCCTGTGGTTGAGACAATGCTCCCCAGATAAGTGAAAGAAGTAACCTCTTTCAAATCCCTCCCGTTGATGGTGATTGGCACTGGATGTTGCTGCTGTGGTTGGTTGGTTATTTTCATGACCTCCGTCTTGTCTATGTTCACCTGGAGTCCTGTCTTTGCTGCTTCTTCGACCAGTTTGTCGGTTTTTGCTTGTAAGTCTTCGATTTTGTGTGACATCAAACATAAATCATCCACGCGCGAAATCCAGGTCTTCTAGGTTCTTCACGTCGGTCCAGGATATCCCTGTCTTCTCGTTTCCCACTGTCTGGCGCATAATCCAGTCCACCACAATTAGGAATATCATTGGTGATAATAAGCACCCTTGTCTGACTCCTGTGTTTACTCCAAACGCTTCGCTGAGTTTTCCGTTGTGGATCACTTGACATGTGCCGTTGTCGTACAGTTGTTGAATAAGGTTGATGAATATTTGGGGTACGCCGTAGTACTCGAGTAGTTTCCAAATTACTTCGCGGTCAACGCTGTCGAAGGCCTTCTCAAAGTCTATGAAGTTGAGGTAGAGATTTGATTGCCATTCCATGCTTTGTTCGATGATAATGCGTAGAGTTGCAATTTGGTCAGAACATGATTTGCCTTTCCTGAATCCAGCTTGTTCTGGTCGGAGTTCTGTATCCAGCGCGTCCTTGATTCTCTCCAGGATGATGCGACTCAGGATTTTACTTGGCGTCGACAGGAGCATGATTCCTCGCCAGTTCTTGCAGAGTCCCAGGTCGCCCTTCTTTGGTAGTTTCACCAGGTAACCTTTTCTCCAGTCAGTAGGCACCTTTCCCTCTTTCCATATCTTTTGCAATAATGGAGTCAGCATATCTGCCGTCGTTTCTGGGTCCGCTTTCAGTGCTTCCGGGGGTATTCCATCTGGTCCAGCTGCTTTTCCAGCTTTCAGAAGCTTGATTGCATTCATGACTTCAGTTTTCGTTGGAGGATTGGTGTCAACTTGCAGTTGTGTACGTGCTGTTGTTGGTATTACTGGACGGGTTGTAGGTGGTGGTCGATTCAAGAGTCCTTTGAAGTGGTCCGCCCATTGTTTAATCTGTCTTTCTTCTTTGGTAATTGGGTTCCCTTGGCTGTCTTTTATAGGTTTCACTTGTGTTGATCTCTTCCCGGATAGAGACTTGGTTATCTGATATAATGTCCTCAGGTCCCTTTTGCCTGCTGCCTTCTCAGCTTCAGTAGCCAGGTTGTCGTAGAATTGTCTTTTGTCCTTCCTGGCACTCTTCTTCACTTCTTTGTCCAGTGCTGTGTAAGTTGAGTTCAGCGTCTCTTTCTCTTGTCCATCTTTGCATTGAATCATTTTTTCTTTCACCTTTCTCCTCTCCTCTATTAGTTTCCAAGTGTCTGTTGAGAGCCATTCCTTGTCTTGTTTCTTCTTTCTTCCTAAAACCGTTGAGCACGTTTCGTTGAAAATTACCTTCAGAGAGTTCCAATGGTCTTCCACGGATGATTCCTCAGTGGTGCCACGTAGTGTTTCCTGCTTTGCTCTGACAGTTGCAGTGAAAATGTCCTGTGTGATTGTGTCCTTCAGTTTGTGAGTGTTGAACTTGCATTGTGGCCTATCCCCAGCTATCCTCGAGGCTTTCAGCTTCACCTTGAAAGTCCCTTGTACTAGATAGTGGTCTGAACCCACATCTGCTCCTCTCCTCGATCTTGTGTCCAGTAGGCTCCGTCTCCACTTCCTTGAGATTGAAATGAAGTCTATCTGGTTTTTGGTGTGTCCATCTGGTGAAATCCATGTTGCCTTGTGTATATCCCTGTGTTTGAACACACTGCCACCAATCACCAAATCATTGAAGGCGCAGAAGTCTGAGAAGAGTTCGCCATTTTCGTTCATTTCACCGAGGGCCTCACGACCCATGGTGAGTTCTCTTCCTGTATTGTCTCCTCCCAGTTTCGCATTCATGTCGCCCATCAGGATTTTGATATCGCTCTTTGGGACGTTGTCCATTACTGTTTGTAGTTGACTGTAGAAATCCTCCTTCATCTCTTTTTCTGAGACGTTTGTAGGCGCGTAGCACTGAATGATTGTAACCTTTTTTCCTTTTGAGTTGAACCTGGCTGTCATTATCCTGGAGGAGATTGGTTCCCACTGCATGAGAGCTTTAGCCGCTGTTGGTGACATCATGATGGCTACTCCCTCGGTGTGCTCGTGATTGTCCTCTGGGTGACCGGAGTAGATTATTGTCTCTCCAGTTGATAGTTGGCTCCTTCCACATCCGTTCCATCTGCTCTCGCAGATTCCCAACACTTCTATTTTATATCTCCTCATTTCTGCGGCTACCTGAGCAGCCTTCCCAGCTTCGTACATTGTACGAACATTCCACGTCCCCATCCTTATTTTCGCTTTCATTGAAAGAAGGCACATCGGCTGACTGGCTTCCCGAAGGCTTTCACCAGCCCGCGTCATTTCACTTCCCCGATTCCAGCGAAAAATAAGGTCACTCTTTGTAATTTTAGAATTTTTAATATATTTGTGCGTTGAAGTTTTAGTAGCAATTTGGTTAAGTTTTGGGGGTGGAGTTGCTAGCACCACGCCCCAACCCTCCCTCTTTATCCGGGCTTGGGACCGGCTAGAATACTAGTGACCTAGTAATCTAGGCGAGGTTAAAAAATATGGAACGCTTCACGATTTTGCGTGTCATCCTTGCGCAGGGCCCATGCTAATCTTCTCTGTATCGTTCCAATTTTAGTATATGTACCGCCGAAGCGAGTACGAATACAAATTGAATAGACAAAATGAAAAAAAATGAAAAACTGATAGAACCAAAATATGATTGGAGATTATCATACTTTAGCATAGAGGGATTAAGACCATGAAAGTTGGAGCGGTTGAATGAACTTTTTCTGTACACAGAGATCTGGCTTTTTTGTTTCGATAGTCAAAGCTTCAGTAATACAGATGAGTCAAGTACGTAGTGATTTGGGCAAATTATTTTTCACCTTGTAGATGACTTTAAAGACGGAGGCTGTAGAGATAGGGTGATCATTATCGACCAGATGTTCAATGATCGCGCTTCTTATTGCTCCACTTCCACATCTTCGTAACTACCATGCAGAATAGTGTTCTTGCACCCTCTTGGACAAAACTCGAGTCGAACGACCGATATATGTACCTAGCTCCACACGAGCAGGTGAATTGATAAACACACATAGAGTTGGTCAACAGCGGGATCTTGTCCTTCAGGTTATTTGAACAGTAATGGTCAACTAGTAAAGGCTATTCTCAGAGATGCAGCAGGGTCTCTTCGCTGAATCACTTGTTTCGATTCTCTATATGTTAAAATAGGAATTTTCCTTGAGTTAATGATTGATTATAAGCGATGTCGTTTATTTGTTCATTTGAACAGTTTTTGCATATACTAGACTATGGGCCACACATATCGGGTGTGGGGGCTAATGATACCATACTAGGTGAAGTGGGACTCGAGCCTGAGACACCGATTGGCTGTGTAAATTGAGTGTTTAAGCCAATAAATCATACCTCCATAAATAAGTAGTGTTAATAAGTTTTGATTCTCTCTTTTGTTTTTTGAATGATTACAAAATTTCTTTGCTTATTTATATTTTATTTATGTATTTATTTGTCTTTCTATACAGACGACTGATGGCTTTTGTTCTGTCGAATCGAAATAAACCGAATAGTATGATGTCTGAAGAATTATATGCTAAAGGTGTAAAAGTAATCAACTTCTATGATGTTGTCTTTGATTTAATGCTATTGGAGGCATTTGAACTACTCGCCAATCCGCCTAGTTCAGTGCTATCCGTCACTCGACATAAATGGTTAAGTGATAATTTCAAGCGTTGTGCACTGGATTCCACTGTGTGGACTATTCTCTTAGCTAAGCGTAAAATGATTAAATACGCAGATGGTTTTTATGCTCATTATTATAGTATGATTGGTACAATACTGCCTGCATTAGCCTGGGGTTTTCTAGGACCAAATGAAAATTACTTTCGTCTGTGTGATCGTTTTCGTGAGACAATTATTTCATTTATTCGTGAATCATTCATCTGTTATGATTCATCTATTCTTACGACGACACAACAACAAATGGTTTATCCTTAGCATTTCCTGATGAACATTTTGCCCAGCATGATGAATTCGATCGGAGTACTCTAGTCAATTGTCCTTCAGTTGGGGATAATATCAACAGTTCTACGCCCCCACCTTCTCCTCCTCCTGGTGTAAACGATAATGATGACAGTGTTGAGACAATCTCAGAGTCTGGACCAACATTAGTCTGTAAACAGGAAGATTTCCACCAATCAATGACATCCAATGCAGTTTATCATCGACAAATTGGTTTACGTTATACAACTGTCGAAGAATTAGGCAGTGATTTATACAAATTAATTAATATTTATTCTAAAGAATTATTAAATATCTTTATGCATGAATCACAGTCTAGTGATAATCCTTTGCCTGAACAATTGCAGTCAAATCCTCTTCAACCAGATCTACGTCTCAGTTATGTGGTGTAGAGACGAAAATAGAAGAAGAAGAAAGCATTATACTATCTACTATTCGGATTGATTACGCAATAGCTTTCTCATCAATAATCAGCATTTCGCTTTTTAGACTTTTTTTTTTTACTTGTTCACAACCAAAGCACACCTTGTATATAGACGCCTATATATGTTTGTATATAGATATAGTGAATTGTCTTTTCTCTCTTATGTGTTATTTATTCACTAGTATAAATTGTGTATAGCGCTCTTTGATTAAAAATAGTGTCTTTTGTCTAACTGTATATACAATTAAATATATGGATGTTTTGTGAAGAATTGTTTTCTTCTCTGTACCGTTTTAATTGTAGATGATTGAATTATTGATATATATTTTGAGGTTGATTGAGTCTGTGTGTACAGAAGTGTGTGTGTGTGTGTGAAAGCGGGATTTTACGTTTTGGATAGGTTTCGAACAAACACAGATTATGATCAAGTGTCAGTTTACAGGGATTTGATTGACTACACAGGTTGACATCAGTTAGAGAATCATTGAAAACCAACAGGGGAGTACTGGACTCTTCAGCACAGTACGCACCCATCATCACTGGGGTTCGAACCCGTGACCTATCCGTTACAAGGCGAGCCTCATAGACGACCAACTCAGCCACTGGGACTTGATCCAATGTTTCATGAATTCTAAATTCTGCTAATTGGTCATACAGGAAGTTATTTGAAGTTCTAGTGACCAGGGCTCACAAAGTTCATATAAAACACTCTGTCACAGCCTATGAAATTGGCTAGCGGTTGCGTTATATATATATATATATATATATATATATCACGAATTGGCAGAATTTGGAATTCACAGTCCATTGAGTCGGGTCCCAGTGGCTGAATGGTCTACGGACTTGCCTCGAAACCGGAAGGTCCTGGTTTCGATCCCTAGTGGGTGGAGTCATAGGCGCGTACTGCTGAAGAGTTGCAGACTAAGAAGGAAATGGGTGTCCAGTACTCCCTGCCGGTTTTCAATGATTCTGTAACTGAAGTCAGTTTGTGATGAAAATTGAATGTAGATTACGGTATAGTATAGACAATTGCTTCACATAACTATGTTCTAGATTATGTTTTCGAGGAAGTACTGGGTCGCGAGTTTAAATCCCGCTCCACCTAGTTCAACCTGGGCAACTGATTGGGTGGCATCTTCAACTCTCACATAATAATTGTGTGCTTCATAGACCGGTACATGAGACATCTGTTTCGAGTGACTAGTTTTCGCCTTCTGAATATAACCTATGAAACTCCTATCCTATAGTTGACGTCCAGTTTTCTTCATGAATTCTTGACCCGCTTCCATCAAACGGCAAATTATACATCAATCTATATTAAGAGATAAGTCTTGTTAAGCTTCTCACTTTAAATATGTAATTCACGCCACTGTAAGTGATTATTCCCTCGCCTCACTAGTTTAAATCTTCAGTTTTCTGTCTGTCAGTCTTGGCTACCATGTTTATACAAATTATCGCCGCCTCTTTCGAAAGAAGTGATCAACTTCTTTTATAGTAGATCTACTGGACGTTTTTTTCTCTCCAGGAGAATAGTTAGTAGTCAGTTTTGTAAGCACAAGATTTTTGTGCATATTTTCTTCCACTATAACTGGGTGATCATTGGAACCTTTTATGAGTTGTGCTTGATGTTTCAAACGATCGTTTTTCATAGTCTGCGAATACTCTGTAATTCAGTGGAATATAATAAGTTCGTATAGTGTTTTTAACTAATTATACAACCATTAGAATTTAATTAGTGGATGGACGGCTAGCAGTGGAATCTACCAGGATGCGCATTTCGTCCTATTTGGGACTCGTCAGCTAACTAGATGTGCCTGCATTCCCCAGTGAGTGATGATGTTCCCACTGCTAGTCACCATCGGCCAATCGACGTCTAATTACATGCCCAGGCATCGTCGACGCATCTGCACAAGAAGCCAACAGACATGTCAACCTGAGACCGAGCACTTCAGTCCAATCAATCAATAGACGGGAAAAATCTAAAATTCAATTAAATAATTATATGACCATATTACCTAATGAGTATACCACTACTACTACTACTCTATTGAGGTGTGTATTTTGAGTGTATGATTGATTTCAAGGTGAATTTCATCATAACTCCGTATCGATTGGGTTGGTTTAATCACTCAGCTTTCAGCTAATTATAGTATTCGCTTCTAAACCTGTTCTATCTACCTCCTTAGACAGCTGGATAGTATATCGCATTCCCTGGTACACAAAACGTCTATTCCAAGTATCTGACAGTAGTCAGAGCACTATTCAAAATCATCGAGCAATAAAACGAGTGGATCATCATAGCCTAGGACTTCTCATAGGGGTATTCGTTTTAGGAATAAGTTCAGTTAGTTGATTAGTTTCTTTCATGTATATATGTACATTGTAGTTTGGTTTATTTTCTTTCGCTGAAGGTACACTTGTTTTAATAATTTATTTATTTATTTTGTTTCAATAGGTGGTAATCTATGGATGCACCAACTCAAGCTATTTTATCCGCTTTCTCTGTTGTCCTCGGTATTGAGAATGGTGATCGACAAGCAGCAGAACAAAATCTTACTGCACTTGAAGTTCTTGAAGGTTAGTTTGTATACACTTATTATTGTGTTGTTTTATGCATTCCCCCCCCCCCCCTTGAAATGTAAAGTGCTCATCACATCAAGTGGATGCACATTAAGTTATCTGTTAATATATCTCATTCTGTGTGCGATTGGAAGTCTTTATTGATTCATTTGAGATATGCGTTATATACATAATCAATCCCAGAAGATATTATATGTTTATTCATAGAGTGTTTTACTTAATATAGATAATATTTTGAACAAGTGTACACTCCTCTCAATCATTGTGTTCATCTATGCTCAAAGTTTGTTTGTAGTGCTCTAGGTCGATCGGTCGGTTTTCGACATAGAACTTTGCACATATGTGCGGCAGTTCAAGTCTCCATACTCCCCACATGTAGTACACAAACCAAGAGAAGAAAATAGGATAAATGCATAATAGAGACAGTAAACAGAGGTGTGAGAGAAAGGAATAGTAATAACGAAGAACAAAACAGTTTAATTGGAAATCATAAGTCACAAGGAGTGGATGCATCTACACCAGCCATTGAGAACGATTTTGAGCCATATCACCAATTGTTTCCAAACATTGGTTTTTACCGTCCCGAGGACCCCAACCAGTCAAGAAGTCTACACCTTCCTACGTGGCCAGCTTAAACTAACTGTTGTGGATTTCATTGACTGATGCCATGTTTTGGTTTGACCGCCTCTAGCTCTTTTCCAGTCTGACCTTATGTCAGCTAACATTGCCCATTGTCGAGGAAGGCGATGACTAGGCATACGTAACACATGTCCTAACCATCTCAATCGGTGTAACTTCACAGCTTTGTCAATTGATTTCCCCTCCCTTACCTAGAACTCGACGCCTAACCTCAATATTGCTCATCTTATTATACCACTTAGCGCCCACGGGAGATAGAACGCAGGCACCTATGATCGAAGACAGCTAATCTTTTTATGTCTTCCACTTCCAATGGGGGCCATGTCTCACAGTCAGCCATAAAGTAGGACGGAGTGGACTGATGAGCAGTACACCCACCCTTTCGTCGATAGCCGGATATCTTCACTGGTGACTGTGGGGGTAGCCTTGTCTTCCTCTTATCTTCATTTAAAAGACATCGCTGAGTTTTTTCGTTGTGGATCACTTAACATTTGACTGTTGCAACCCACTTAAACCACTTTTGATTTTATCTTGTTTTTATTTATGCATTTCAGTATATCCAGTTAAAGTGATGAATATATTCTCAGATGAACAATTATCTCTTGAACTGCGTCAGCTAGCTGGGATTACACTGAAAAACTATGTTACTAGTCATTGGAGTGAAGCGTCTTGTCTATCATTTAAACCACCGGAAACAACTGACGAAGTAAGTAAAGTATATAGAAGAAAAGAAATATTTTTTTAAAGTTAAGAAGAATGCCTACATGATGACACTTAGAGGGATAGTCATCAGGGTATTATTATTTCTCACCTGTTAGATTTTTGTCATTTTCGTCACCAACATTAGTTGGAAAGATTATTGAAAACAAGGGAGAACTGGACGGCTGTTTCGTCCTGTCCGGGAACTCTTCAGCACTGTGTACCTAAGACCCTGCAAGGGATCAAATCTAGGATCTTTATGTTACGATGCCCAGTTCATTGATCATTTAGTTAATGGATCATGAAATCTTAGCCTCTTTTAATTCACTATTTCAGTTCAACCACCAGCCAATGTCACCAGAAAGTGTATCTCCTCACACCCGACCTGGTTATTGACCCCACTGGTCATGAATTTCTCACTAGAACTCCAGGCAGCACGTATACTCTTGTAGAATATGAATATGAAAGCTTTCCTTTTGAACCACTTTAGCATATTGTGTGCAACCTGAAGATGATCACTGGTATTTTAGATAAGACTTAAAATCCTGGGCAACGATCAAAACTCAACTTTAAAAGGCTAATATTATAATGACAACAGGCAAAGATGATATCAACGTTAATTCCCAGTGTTCCCTCAAAATAATCACGTACAAAATAGAAGTAAATCCCATCTTGTCGTCGTCAAAATACCGCACACATCCACCTCACTTCTTTACTCCACCTTACTAATTCTCGTGTATCTTCTCTACATGCATACCAAGGCGTTATGTCGAGAGGGAGATAGACAAACAGACAGGTAGAGGTTTTTATTATCTTTGAAAATTTAACTTCATTTCTAACGATTTCATTTATCTTTTGTGTTTTTCTTTTTACTAAGGCTAAGTCATACATTCGATCTGGTATCTTACAATTATTAACTTCACCACATCGACGTATTCGTGCAACAGTTGCGCGTACAATCACTATCATCGCTCAACATGATTGGCCAGAAGTTTGGCCTGATTTATTCAATCAGCTGATTGAATTAATTCGTCAATCATCAATGAGTAATGATATGAATGTGAATAAAAATACTGTACATGGTGTTATACGCGTGTTAACTGGTAAGTAACTTGAGGGTGTATGTACTTTAAGGTTTCTAACTGTGAAAACAGGTATACATAAAAGTATGATGGAAATTTCCTTTATATATTATATACTACTTAAGTAGGCAGCTTTTATACATAGAAAATAATATATCATTTTGGTGCTTATGCAAAGGATTGCACAGAGGACTGTTTCGACTATAGGCCTATTAAGAAGATATTTTAAGAATCGATTTCGTAATTTTCA